ACTTACAATGGCATTTGTTTTGGCTTTGAAATATTCCTAGGGAACAATGCTGGTTAGTGCTGAAAATGATTTAATTGTATTAAATAACTTTGAATAAACAAAATGATTATTTGGATATGTCTTTAGTCAGTGGTTCAGGGCATTCCTAAGATATCTGAAATAAACATTTAATTTGGAAGGATGAAAATCCCATTTACTCCTTCATCAGGCAATAGTTCTCTTTCAACAAGTATTTTAAATTTCTGTTATAGACAAAGGATAATACTTCATGATTTAATAGATTAAAAAATTAATAAGGCTAATCTTTTCTCTTAAACTCACACACTACTAAGTAGATCATGTAAGTCACCAAGTTGCTCTAATGCAAGACAGATTGATATCAGTGCCATAAGAGAATGCCGATTGCTGTGGCATTACCAAAACAGGAAAATCAAATCCCATTAAGTCTCTTTTAGTTCACAAGTACCTTAGTCAAGTTTCAAAAGGTTGCAAGTAACATAGACTCCCTCGATTTCTTTTAATGAGAAGTATGAAACATTAGCAAATATAAACTTATTTCATGAAATCCGAGGCCAGCCCTCAGAAGCAAATAGATCCAGAAAATGGACATTAAAATTACTCTCTCTGTCTCTCTGGATTGATGTGGTCTCTTACTCCTGCTTCTCTCCCTTCAATTTTTTTCTTTTTTTGCCTAATTGCCTTCTCTATTTTGTCATGTGTAAGGCCAAACATGGTCGGTCCAGATCTTAATTTGCATTCCTTTTCAGTGAAAGAGCTAAAAAAACAAAAAGCAAAAAAACTGACCCATGTCTCAGAGACCCAAATCCAAATAGCCTGGAGAAAGCATCTAAGTTGCCTGAACTGGGGGGGATGTTTATCCTTGTCCAAAAGATAGTATTGAGATACAATGAAGTCCACCCAATGAGTGGACTTTCCAGACAAGGGAAACAGAAGTTAGGACATTAACTCAAAATATGTAAAAGAAAATAAGGTAGATGCCAGACTAAGAAGTAAGATTACCATCCTTCATCAATGAACATTCTGGGGAATTGTCTCTTAGCAGGGATTAGGTTCTAAAGTCAGCATACATTGAAAAAACACTTAAAGACAAAATTATCTTTGAAATATCTTAAATAGCCCTAAATTCTTTCACACGTGTGGTTTTATGTATATAACCATTCTTATGGAATGCTTTGGTTGCAAATAGAAAATAAGCTTGACCCAATCGGCTTAAACTAAAAGGAAGAAAACTTGTTATCTCACAAACAAATGGTCCAGTGTTTGTTAATTCAGTTGTTCAATGATATTATGGCACCAAAGTTCTCTTCATTTTCCTGTTTTGCCATTCTTAGCAAGTCTGACTCTCTCAAGCTAACATCCTTTGTGCTCACAAATGGCTACAGACCAGGGACTCAATCATACAGGAAAATATACAAAGTCTCTTCCTTTGTTCATCTAATTTAAGGAGTGATACAAACTCTTTCCCAAAGCCCTCTACTCTCAGTTGACCTCCCTCAAGTCTCCATCAGAAATGGGGTAGAACTCACCCTAAACCAACTACTAGCTAGAACAATAGGAGCATTGTAGTAGATTTATAACAATCATAACTTAGCCGGGAGCCAATTTGGGCAAAGCTGGACACCATACAGTATCAGGGCTCTTTCAACATGGAAGTAGCAGAAAAAAAATAATTTGGCACTCACAAAACTCCTGATTCTAGTCATGCTTATTTTAGCTCTAATTAATATAAAAGAAAAGAGTGAAAATAAACCTCGGATATCATCAAACCCAATGAATTCCAAGATTAACAATGTGTGTGTACTATCTATCGATATCCTGTGACTTGGTGATTTGTAATATTCTTTGAGAACTTCTTGTCTAGGTTATATAGGTGAAGCTCTAAAGCCCAAATAATAATTAAAGAAGTGAATAAAAGCACTATTTTAATCCAAGTGGAAATGGTATGAATAAACAGGCAGACTGTGAAAAATTCATTTGGATAAGATGAGAGAATTATTTTCACTGGCCCAGGTTCAGTTAGTTGTTTATCTCACAGGGAAGCATGTTGCCCTTGGGCCCTGCAGGGGACCCACCTGTGAAGGATAAGAGTTATGTACCATACTTCTTCTCTAGGACATCAACAGGGTAATATTCTGGCTACTTGAAAGATCCACCTTTTTGTGTCAATTTGCACTAAATTCCCACTAAGCCCCGGGAAACACTGCTCTAGTCTGTAGAAATTTATCTTCAGGCAACAAAAAGTTTTATGTTAAATTTTTGCCCTCATGTTTTACTGTAGCTTTGCTGGTTTTTTTTTTAATGTTTGTTTATTGATTTTTAATAGAGTGAGTGGGGGAGGGGCAGAGAGACACAAAGAGAGAGAATCCGAAGCAGGGTTCACATTGCCACTGCAGAGCCTGACGTGGGGCTCTAACTCATGAACCATGAGATCATGACCTGAGCCAAAATCAAGAGTTGGTTGCTCAACTGACCGAGTCCCAGGAGCCCCTAGATTTTTAAAAATTATTTATTGTGCTTAACTGTAATAACCTCTCTGAGGGCAAGTCTTTGATACAGCATCAAGTTTGAAACCAGAGTCAGTGATCAAAAAATGTCCAGCAAATGAAAGAATAAATTTTCTTTCTTACCCATTTCTGCACATTTACCCAAACCACAATATTCTGTCAGTTGCCTTTTAAGTTCATAAATATCCCCAGTAACTGAACAGCACAACTCCTTTGTAAAAATGTTGCACAACACATGTATCAAACGCTTAATGTTAACATTGAACAATCCTCAAAGAAGTTGAGCAGGGCTCCCTAGTTCTTAACTGTGGGCTGTGCATAATGACTTCCTTCCAAATAATACATTATGGAAAGGAGACAAGTTTTAAGTGGAGAAAATTGACCAACACTTCCTCAGCCAGGTGATCAAAGTCAACATCAATAGTGAAAATCAAGGTGATAGTTTGTCCCTTTATATTATGTGATAAGAATGGCATGTTACCTCTGTGATCTTCATCTCCAAAACACATAATCCTATTCTAGTTGTGAGAAAAATACCCGTAAATCACAACTGAGAGACATTCTACAAATTACAGGACCAATAATCCTCAAAAACACTGATGTCATCAAAAACAAGACTTAGAAACTGTGAGAGCCAAGACGAGCCTAAGGAGACACAATGATTAATGTCACATGATGTTCTCAGTGGAACAGAAAAGGAATTGGTAAAAAGGAAATCTGAATCAAGTATGGACTTTATTTAATAATCATGTATCAATATATTGGTTCACTAATTGTATCAAATGTACCATACTAATACTGTAAGAAGTTACTAACGGAAAATGGTGTGGGCTATATGGGAACCCTATACTATTGTAATTTTTCTGTAAAAACAATTTTTTTATTCTAAATATAAAGGATCTTTACCTCATATTCATCTGGAGTGGAGAGGGGAGAAATGCAATAATCAAACACCAAATGATGCCTTTGTATATATTACCCCTCCCCATTCTGCCCCAGGGGAGAAATGAATCAACACCTGTGATCCAGCAAAGCGACAGCACATGCCTTCTTCATGGGGAGAGTGACTAAAGTGTGTGGCTGGAGGCCAGGACTGTTAATCTAGTGGAGGCTGCTGCACATGGCTGTAAGAGGAGAACTCCCCACCATCAGGTGCCCTCTCCACATTCCCTGTCCTAGCAGCACCAAAATACTGCTGTATTTTTCAGATAGTCCGCCACAGATTTTAAACCTCTAAAAGATAACACATTCCTATTTTCAGCAAAGACTTTGAACTCAGCTAATTTTTGTACTTTATGATTAACCATCCAGAAAGGGTCTGTCCTTGCTCTTAGATTTTTATTTTACACTCAAATCCTCAAATACTTGGGTTTATACTGACTGACCTGCTCAAATTTCTTATTTCCCAGAATTGTTATGCTGCAAGATTCTTCCTCCTTTGCAGTGGTCCATCTCTTCACTGAGTTATCCTCTGTCCTCAATTCTTCCTTGTCCTGGACTAATTTAAATTATGAAACAAATCCACAACATTTCAAAGGAATCTTTTTCCATCAGCCAAGATTGTTCACCAGCCAAGAAACCCTTGGGGCAACCAAGTTACCTATTAAATCTTGCTGAAGATCAGCAAGATCTAGAATTTGCTTCCTTCTGTTGGGTAACTTATAAATGAAGCAATAATATTGTGTATCCCAAATTCCAAATTCATTACCAATTACGGGCATATTAGATATTTTATTTTGGAATGTGTTGCATATCAGTTTACAGAAAAAGAATTCTAAAGCCAGCCGCCAAATTCCTCCTTTATGTCACTTGACAATGAGGCACGAAAAACAATTGCAACAGCTGTATATATCCTGAGATCATGAGCCATACACTTTATATAGAAACTGAGAATTTCAAAAGCTTAAAGCAGTTAAGTTAACCAACCTTTAAATAACTTTAAAAAATAGTTTCTTAAATTGTCAACCAAACCATAATTTTGATTAGAGAAAGACAAGATGAATAAATTTGATCTGTGACCCTAAGTTAAAGGAACCCATCTGTTAATGGTATCAGTTGAAAGTGGCACAAATACCATATGATTCCACTCACAAATGGAATCTAAAAAAAAAAAAAGAATAAACAAACAAAATCAGAACTATAAATGCAGAGAACAAACTGATGGTGGCCAGAGGGGAGGAGTGTGGGGTGGGTGGGGGCAAAATGGGTACAGGGGAAAGGGAGATATAGGCTTCCGGTTATAGAATGAGCAAGTCACAGGAATAAAAAGCAGAGCATAAGGAATACAGTCAATGATATTGTAATAGCAATGTAATGGGACAGATGGTAGCTATACTTGTGGTGAACATAGCACGGTGTATGAATTTGTCAAATCGCGAAGTTGTAATACACCTGAAACTAGTGTAACACTGCATGTTAACTATAGTCAAGTAAGAAAAATTTTTAAAAATCAAAGCACAGCTCCAGTCATCCAAGATGCTGAAAGGAAAGAAGGTTAAGAACAAGATGGGCAACCTTGTTCCTGCTGACATGAGGAAGCAGGAGGCCAAGAAGGTGGTCAATCCCCTATTTGAGAAAAGGCCCAAGAATTTTGGTATTAGACAGGATATCCAGCCCAAAAGGGACCTCATCCGCTTTGTCACCAATCAGGCTGCAGTGGCAAAGGGATATTCTCTATAAATGTCTAAAAGTGCCTCCCATAATTAACCAGTTCACCCAGGCCCGGGACCACCAAGCAGCCACTCAACTGCTTAAGCTGGCCCACAGATACAGACCAGAGACAAATAAGAAGCAAAGATTGTTGCTCCAGGCTGAGTAGAAAGCTGCCAGCAAAGGTGGCCCACAGATACAGACCAGAGACAAATAAGAAGCAAAGATTGTTGCTCCAGGCTGAGTAGAAAGCTGCCAGCAAAGGTGATGTCCCCTCTAAGAGGTCACCTGTCCTTCGAGCTGGGGTTAATACTGTCACCGTCTTGGTGGAAAACAAGAAGGCTCAGCTGGCGGTGATTGCACATGATGTGGATCCCACTGAGGTGGTTGTCTTCCTGTGTGCCCTGTGTTGTAAGATGGGGGTTCGCTACTGCATTATCAAGGGAAAGGAGGCCAAGCTAGGACATCTGGTCCACAGGAAGACCTGCACTACTGTCACCTTCACACAGGTTAACTCGGAAGACAAAAGAGCTGTAGTTCTGGCTAAGCAGGTGGAAGCTATCAGGACCAATTACAATGACAGATATGATGAGATATGCTGTCACTGGGGACGCAATATCCTAGGTCCACAGGCAGTGGCTCACATTGCCAAGTTGGAAAAGGCTAAAGAACTGGCCACAAAATTGGGCTAAGCATAAGCTGTTGAATTTTCTGTACATAAAAGTTACAAAAAGTTCTCTTTCAAAAAAAGTCAAAATAGCACAAAAAAGACACATTCTTTTTATAAAAACAGACAAATCCAGATTGCTTATCTGAAATAGATGGGCTCCAGTCATTCTTTGAAAGTTTCTTTTAGTTCAATATTTAAAAATTAGTAACAAAGATGTGTAAAACATATCTGTGGCAATCTCTAATTTCATCATCTTTGGTTTTTGAAAGATTATATATAATCTACTATTACCAACATATATATCATCAATATATAGTCTCCTTGAGGGTCTTTTCTATCTGTCCATCTCTCAGCCTCTTAATAGAGTGCCTTTTCATGGGGCGCCTGGGTGGCGCAGTCGGTTAGGCGTCCGACTTCAGCCAGGTCACGATCTCGCGGTCCGTGAGTTCGAGCCCCGCGTCAGGCTCTGGGCTGATGGCTCAGAGCCTGGAGCCTGTTTCCGATTCTGTGTCTCCCTCTCTCTCTGCCCCTCCCCCGTTCATGCTCTGTCTCTCTCTGTCCCAAAAATAAATAAACGTTGAAAAAAAAATTAAAAAAAAATAGAGTGCCTTTTCAAAATAGATATTTGATAATTTACATTGAGATATAATGGATGCTAATAATTTCTAAAGGGATCTCAGTGCACAGCTGAAAGGAGGAATTGCTATGAGAGAGAAGCTTAAAAGAAGATAATGAGAAAAATATATCATTCATTTGTTCAAAGACACTTGAGTGCCTACTCTTTGCTGATGCTCTGCTAAGCACAATGGGGGGATGGAGGAAAATATGATTAGGGCTTGAAGTATCAATAATACTTATCAATAATTAAGGATATAAGGTATACATATGATGTGTACTAGACACTAAGTAGGAAGAAAAAGTGAGTGACAATGAAAACATCTAGGACTTAAGGAGAAGTAGAAATCACTTGCATCTGAGAATGTTCTAAAGACTGCTCATAAATAGAGTGATGATAATTAGCATAGCTAAGTTAATAATTATCTAAATGGGCTGAAGGGAAAATAGAGTGGCAGGGATCAAAACTGATTCTCTGGATCCTGTCTGAATCTTATTAAAATTGTGTCAGGAGAAATATGACAGAGAGCCCATGACTAAAAGTTACCTTGCTTATATGCTATGATTTGCAAATTAATCAATCTCACAATTTGATCACTGTGATTCCTAAGAGTTTTGTATTAGTTTCATTTAGCAATTTTATGTTTATAGATTGTCATTTTTTTTTAATTTTTAAAGAAGCTCTTTATCTCTAAATTATGCAGCCTTTGTGCCAAAAATTTGGAAACATTCAGGTTGTTCAGTCATGGATACAAAACAACTAGCATGAAATCAAAGGGTCTGCGATAAAATATTTAGCTAGAAATTTAAAAGCCTAGTTAATATTTAACCCCAAAATTACATAATGATAATAATGATAATGAATGTGACTCATGATAACCATTAGAGTTTTATAAAATTAAATTAATGATGGTTTTAAAACATGAAATGATCATTTCAAGGGAAGAAAATTAGTTTTGTGTGACCATATGCTACAAATTGAGAATAGATTTAGAAAGTATCAAAAAGCACTGAAATAATACAGATACAAAAAAATCTTCTAGTATTTGACCGTTATCAAAAACTCAGAGATTCCCCACTGCCTAATGGTTATCCCCTTCCCACATTTCTCAGCATGGGATACAAGTCTTCCCCAACACTTTTGTCCCTTCTTGCTTTTCTAGTGTCCAACTCACCCAAACCCTGCTGGAGCAAAGTTACTTTATTTTCTTAAAAACTGCAAAGGCCTTCCCATATCTTGTCTTGTGCTACTGTAGTATAAACCTTTCTCCAAAACTCTGGATGGAGTAAGCCTGTTAAGGTCCAATAAACATACTACTTTTATCATGAAGTAAAATAGTCTCAGCTATGACAGCCTTAAATGTGACTAGACATTGTGCAATTTATAGAGAACACTGGGAAGAGTGTGGACAACATCTCAAACCAAGGAATACTTGGAAAACTCAACTACCAGGTATACTAGGACCCGTGAAACAGTGGATCAGAAGGAAAGGGAGGAAACTGGAAGAATAAGGAAGAATAGAGAATAAGGAAGAATAGAGAAACTGAAGTAGCTCAGGTTGTGTGTGTGTGTGTGTGTGTGTGTGTGTGCGCGTGTGTGTGTGTGTGCATGTGTGGTGGGGTGGGCATGGAAGGAGAACAAAGATGCAAGGAGCTACCAGGAATGTTACTCAGAGATGTTGTAAATTTAGACTTGTTTCCAACAGAGATCAATATTTTTTTTCAGTTTTGCTTGTTCTTTTTTAACTACTGCCTTATTGAGATGTAATTCACATAGAAAATTCACACACCACATTTAAAGTATATTATTTAATGGCTTTTTGTATATTCACAGGCATGTAAAATCATCCCCATAGTCAATTGTAGAACATTTTCATTATCTCAGAAAAGAAACTCCTTATCTTGTAGCCACCACTCTCTTGTATCCTCATCCCCGCAGACCTAAGCAAGTACTCATCTACTTCCTGTTCTATAGGTTTGCCTATTAAAGACATTTCATATAAACAAAATCATACTATTTGGTCTTGTGAAACAGGCTTATTCCACTCAGCGTAATGTTTTCAAGGTTCATTCATGTTTATCAGGGGTCAAATAGCAGATGGAAGCAATTAGCAGATGGATAATTCACTGGGAGTAGTGGGCAAGAGACCAGTTCCTAAAAAGGTCCACCCTCCCAGAACAACAACTTTGTGAGAGTTAATCAAGATGTGAGGAGCAGGTCTTGCTACCCAGGAAGGATTTCAACACTAAAAAGAATAAACAAAATGCGGACCTAGTTACATAGATGAGGCCAATAAAGATGGAGGCAGAGGAATCTCTCTTGACATCCAAAATAGGAAGCCTGTGGCAACAAAACAAAGTATTGACCAACTCAATTATTCTAGTCCCTTCCTTCCTCTTCATTTCCACATAATGGACAATAAAACAAATTAACAACAGTAAAAGCAAAGATCAAGAACAACACAGAAGGCTTGTTCTCGTTATTATAAACTATCAATACGATTATCAACATGAGAAATACAATCACTACAGCGCAAGTCTCCTTCATGAAGCAAGACTGATTTATCTAATTTGGAGAAGACGTATGTATTTTTCCTAACATCTGTACATTGTTTATATGTTAACAAACTTTCATAACTCTCTGAGTCTGTCCTTGTCAAAAAGATATTCAAAGTTCTTAAATGAAAATTTGATATAATGAAAGTATGTATGTATTGACTTACCAGATTCCCACTGATTTTACAAAGATAGGATATTCACATTGTTCAGGATGTTTTATAATTAGTTTACTGTTAATTTGAAAATTGGAAATCTTATATTATGAGGTATTCCAAATTTATGATGTGCTTATTTTACTATAAGGTTTTTGAAACTAAAATCAGCAATTGTTTGATAAATATAAATAGACCTTGGTATTCCTTAATGTCTCTTTGTATAAAGCTTTCACTTATCTAATTCAACAGCCCATGCTTTTTCTCCAATGTGCAAAGATTAGTTGTGGAGAAGGGTGTATATCACAGGCAGCTCATGTTAGTCTTCTAATTAATGTATGATTTTACATAAACATTTTTAATTTGACAATCTTTAAAGGCTATGACTAAGTTTATTATTGTTTTAATGAAACTTTTACCAAGATATATAATTCACATGTCATAAATTTCACCCTTTTAAATTGTCCAATTCAATGATTTTTAGTATATTTATACAGTTGTACATTAAATACAATTCTGCAATTCTAGAACATTTCATCACCCCAAAATGAAAGCCCACCTCAATTAGCAGTCCCTTCACATCTTTTCTTTCCTACAGCCTCTAGCAACTGCTAATCTACTCTCCATCTTATAGATTTGCCTATTCTGGACATTTAAAATTAAAATATATATATATATATATATACATATATATATATATATATATACAATTTGAGGCTTTTTGTGTGTGACTATTTTGACTTAGCATAATATTTCATGATTAATCCACATTGTAGCTTGTATTAGCACTTCATTTTCATAGCCAAATAATATTCCAGTGTATGGATATATTACATTTTGTTTATCCATTCATTAATTGGTGGACATTTGGGTTATTTCCACATTTGGCTATCATAAATAATGTTACTATGAACATTTGTGTACAAATTTTTGTGTGGGCATGTGTTTTTAATTCTCTTGGAGATATACGTAGAAGTGTAAGTGGTGGTTCTACAGTAACTTTGTTTCACTTTTTGAAGAACTGCCAAATTATTTTCTAAAGTGTCTCCACCATTTTCCATTCCCACAAATGATGTATGGGGGTTGCAATTTCTCCAGATATTTGTCAATAATTGTTATGGTCCATCCTTTTTATTGCAGTCTTCCTAGTGAGTGTGAAGTGGTATCTCATTGTGGCTTTTATTTGCTTTTCCCTAAAAACTAATGATATTAAGAAACTTAATTTGTTTCTTGGCCAGTTATATAGTAACTTCTTTGGAGAGATGTCTATTCAAACATCTTTCTCAGTTTTAGTTGGATTATTAACATTTCATTGGTGAAACGTGAGGATTCTTTATGTATACTGAATACCAGTTCCTTACCAGATATATAATTTACAAATATTTTCTCCCATTCTGTGGGTTATCTTTTCAATTACTTGATAATATCCTTTGAATCACAAATGTTTTACTTTTGATGAATTCCAATATATCTACTTTTAGTCATTGTAAATTGGTATAATATCTATGAAACCATTGCTTAATCCAAGGTCACAAAGATTTATTCCTATGTTTTCCACAGATAGTTCATAGCTTGATCTCCTACATTTAGGACTATGATCAATTTTGAGTTCATTTTTGTATATGATGAGGTAAGGGTAAGGTAGGGGTCCAAATTCAATCTTTGGTATATGTAATTCAATTGTTCCAACACCACTGTTGAAAAGACTATTCTTTTCCCATTCAATTATATTGACACTCTTGTTGAAAATCAATTGGCTATAAACGTAAAGGTTTATTTCTTGACTCTAAATTCTATTCTGTTGACTATATTTGTGTATTTATGTTAGTACCACACTGGCTTGATTGTTTTAGCTTTATAATAAGTTTTTTAAATTTTTGTTTTGCTTTATTTTATTTTAGAGAGAGACAGAGCATAAGTAGGAAAGGGGCAGAGAGGGAGACACAGAATCTGAAGCAGGCTCCAGGCTCTGTCAGCACAGAGCTGAACTTGGGGCTCAAACT